ATATATATATATATATATATATATATATATATATATATATATATATATATATATATATATATATATGAACCATGGAGGATGCTGTCTGATAGCTGTTCAAAGCTTGGTGTATACTCAACTAATTCTTAAATAGTTCAGGCTCATCTGCTTAAGAATAGTACTATTCACAGTGGGATGGCCTCTTACATCAGTTAACCAACAAGATAACCCCCATATATATGCCCGAAAGCCTTTATTGTAGTTCTCTCAGGTGGTTCTAGGCTATGTCAAGTTGATCTCAACTCAAAAGTACAGCCCACTGTTCTTTCCTGTTTCCTTGTTGTTATTAATGAGTGAGTTTCTTGCTTGGCATATCTGTATCCAAAAATGTGTATTCAATCCCTACTTGTGTTCTCTCTTTTTTCTAGAAGCCTCCCCAGCTTTCTGAGGATGATAACCAGCTGAGAAGCAAACAAGACAACTGTGGTGACAGTCGCCTGGAGCCTGCCACCAGCCCTTCCCCCCCCAGATCACAAAAACATGGAAATTGGGGTATCTGTGGCAGAATGTAAAAGTGTACCTGGAATCACCTCAACCCCTCATTCCAAGGACCACTCCTCCCCTTTCTATTCACCCTCACACAATGGCCTCTTTAATGATCACCGTGAGTCCTTAGATAATGATGTCGCCAGAGAGATCCAATATCTAGATGAGGTGCTGGAGGCCAACTGCTGTGAATCTTCTGTGGATGGAACTTACAACGGAATCTCTTCCCCAGAGCCTGGTGCAGCCATACTGGTGAGCAGCAGCTTAAGCTCACCGGCCCACACAGCCACCCAGGCAGAACTCACTGAGAAAGCATCTGGCAGGCAGGTGCCTCCTCACATTGAGCTCAGTAAAAGCCCCTCTGACATCATGGCTGAAGGAGAAAGAGCCAATGGCCACTCCACTGTCCAGCCCCAAGACATGCTGGGGGACAGTTTGCAGGCACCTGCCAGCCCCAGTTCCTCTACCAGCTCCCATTGCTCCTCCCGAGATGGGGAGTTGACACTCACCACACTGAAGAAGGAGGCCAAGTTTGAGCTGCGTGCATTCCATGAGGACAAGAAGCCCTCTAAGCTCTTTGAGGAGGACGAGCATGAGAAGGAGCAGTTCTGTGTCCGGAAAGTGAGGCCCTCCGAAGAGATGCTGGAACTGGAGAAGGAGAGGAGGGAGCTCATTCGTAGCCAGGCTGTGAAGAAGAATCCTGGCATTGCCGCCAAGTGGTGGAATCCCCCCCAGGAAAAAACTATCGAAGAACAGCTGGACGAGGAACATCTGGAGTCACACAGAAAGTACAAGGAGCGCAAAGAGAGAAGGGCACAGCAGGAGCAGCTACAGTTGCAGCAGCAGCTACAACAGCAGCAGCAACAGCAGCAGCAACAGCAGCAGCAGTCCCCGCCCCAGCTCCGCACAGCCCCAGCTTCTCATGAACACCTAGACGGCACTGAGCACGTGAAGGAGGATGTCGTCACTGAGCAGATTGACTTCTCTGCTGCGCGCAAGCAGTTCCAGCTGATGGAGAATCCCAGACAAACACTGGCCAAGGGCCAGAGCACACCAAGGCTCTTCTCCATCAAGCCTTTCTACAGACCTCTTGGGTCCATCAATTCAGACAAGCCACCGACCGTCTTGCGACCAGCTACTATCGGGGGCACTCCAGAAGACAGTGGCATACAGGCAGCCAAGGGGCAAAAAGCACCCTGTGTATCCGAGAGCCAGTCTGCAGGAGCAGGTGCAGCTAGCACTTCCACTCAGGGAAAGGAAGGGCTGTACAGTGAGCCTTCCAAACGTGGGCCCTTATCGAAACTGTGGACAGAGGACGGAGAGTTCACGAGTGCCCGGGCCGTCCTTACTGTAGTCAAGGATGAAGATCATGGGATTCTGGACCAGTTTTCAAGATCGGTCAATGTATCTTTGACCCAAGAGGAGCTGGACTCGGGTTTGGATGAGTTGTCAGTGAGGTCTCAGGACACCACTGTCCTGGAGACTCTGTCCAATGACTTCAGTATGGACAACATAAGTGACAGTGGGGCTTCCAATGAGACACCCAATGCCCTTCAGGAAAACTCACTGGCTGATTTCTCTCTGCCTCAGACTCCCCAAACGGACAACCCCTCAGAAGGCCGAGAAGGGGTCTCTAAGTCATTCAGCGATCACGGTTTCTATTCTCCTTCCTCCACACTGGGAGATTCCCCATCAGTTGATGACCCCTTGGAATATCAGGCTGGGCTCCTGGTGCAGAATGCCATTCAACAAGCCATAGCCGAGCAGGTGGATAAGGTTGAGCAGGTGGATAAGGCTGAGCAGCAAACCAGCAAGGAGGGATCGGAGCAGCAGGGACCTGAAGCAACAATGGAGGAAGCCGAAAGCCAGGCTCCCACCTCCGAGAAGCCCCAGAGCATGTTCGCACCACCTCAGGTGTCCTCTCCTGTTCAAGAGAAAAGGGATGTATTACCAAAGATCCTCCCTGTGGAGGACAGGGCACTCAGGGAAAAGGGATCCTCCCAGCCACTGGCAGCTGTGCAGCAGCCCAGTGGGCCAGTCAACATGGAAGAGACCAGGCCTGAAGGAGGCTATTTCAGCAAATACTCAGAGGCAGCCGAGCTGAGAAGCACAGCCTCCCTCCTGGCTACTCAAGAGTCTGATGTCATGGTTGGGCCCTTCAAACTGAGGTCAAGGAAGCAGCGGACTTTGTCCATGATTGAAGAAGAGATCCGAGCAGCCCAGGAAAGGGAAGAGGAGCTGAAGCGGCAGAGACAAGTAGCGCAGAGCACCCCCAGCCCCAGGGTCAAGAACGCCCCATCGCTGCCTTCTAGAACTGCCTGCTACAAAACTGCTCCAGGTGAGTGACAGTTGTATCCTGCATCCAGGATACAACTCCTGCTTTCACGGTTCTGGGTGGAGCCTCCACTATGCCTGTGCACGAGGATTTCAGTAGTAGAGGTATTAGGGTGTCCCCTGGAAGGGCACCAAGCGTGGGTGGTGGCTGCTATTTCTCAGTTGATGTAATGGCTCCTTGCCTCTCAGTTGGCTTTGTCTTGATTTATTAAGGTTCTTTCCTACCTACCCTCTTAGAGGGCTGCTTCTTGGCCAAGTGTGGCGTAGACCTTGGCCAAGTGGGGCTACATGTAATCTTGTGTCTTCAAGTCAGTAACTGGACCTTTAAAAGCTACAGTTAAATTAAACTCATCTAGTTTAGAGGATGTGTTTTCCTAGCTCCTTTTGGGATGCTGGCTTTCTTCCCAGCACTGATGGTCTTAACTCAGGGTTGCAGACTGCAGATATTCTGTTCATCTTCTTTATGGCTGGGTTTGACTTCCTTTATGTGATCACAAACCAGTTACAGCCATGCAATGATGGACCACATCTGTGGTAGTGATCCCATAAGATACTTCCCAGTGATATTAAAACCCTCTTGGTTTCTCAGAATGCTCTATGAAGTTCACATCATGAGATTGCCTAACAGTGCCTTCCTCAGACATTATCTCAGACTGTGTCCTTGACCTCAGCCCTTATATACATATGCTTTGTAATTAGGACCTTTTCCATCCATTCTTGTCCACTTAGAAAAATGAAGTTATTACAAACAAAAAAAAAGAAAAGCCATATTTAATCTCCTTCCATTGTCTGGGTAGCTCCTTTTTTTTGAATTGTTGCTACAGATAGCTGGTATCAATTAAGGCAATGCTGTGGGTGCCATTATGGCTAGCAAGATGACCAGAAGCTTTTCTTTCTGTGTGCATAGATGGCAATTGGGACACTGCTCATGTTGTGTTCCTCTGGGTGTGATCAGAGCTAGTTCATGCATTATTATGGTTCATGTTGTGGGCATTAGAAGAAAGCACTGAAAAACATTTTTTTTAAAAATATCATCCCTAAAGCTCAAGGGTGGGGTCATGTGTTTTACAGTAGACTTGTAGGGAACCTGATCCTTCATCAAAGATGATTTAAGAAGCGTTATCTCGAAGTGTAATCATTGCTGTTTAACTTGGTTCATTCAGACCTCAATTCTTCATGTTGACACTTGATGTCCATCAAATCTACAATGGCACAGATCATTCTTAATTATTTTAAAATCTGAAGGAATCTCAAACCTAAAGGCTAGCTCTGAAGTAGGGTATGCTTGCGTTCCTGGCTGTTTGAGAATCACTTGACACCATCCTGCCTGACCGCCCAAGCTTTGTAATACACCCTCACATTGGATCCTTTTGATGTTTCCACATGGTCACGGTTCACCTTTGGTAAGGGGAGCACTGCCAAACTGATGCCGCGTCCTCGTAAGGTCTAATCAAGCAGTGCATGGTCTCAGCTTGTTCTGGGGTGGACGGATCTTAGTTTTGACAATTCAGTATTACTTTTGATCGCTTGATTAAGGAGGTTGTAAGGCTTCTTACAGAGAAACTGCATTTTCCGTTTGTAATGAATACACACAGCTGGCTATGGATTCTTTATCCCACTCCTTATCAGACTAGGATTTCTTTATTGAATGTAATGGGATTCCGTGAGACCATATTGATATACTTTTTCTTTTATCATTTATCTTATTATTTTTAGCCTGTTTGTTTGGTCATAGCTATGGAAATCCTCTCCAGCTCACACTGTATCTTTTTGAGAGGCAGTTGTTCTCTGAGCGAGCGCTTCCTTTCTATCTGTCTGTCTGTCTATCTATCTATCTATGAAACCATGGATTCATGCAGAGATCTTTTTCAAAAATTAGTATATTTGTGACTCTGTGTGTGAGTGAGTAAGTGTGTGTGTGCGTATGTCATGGTGTGCATTTGGAGGACAGTGGGTATCTTTTAGGAGTCAGGTCTCACCTTCCACCTTGTTGAGCAGGTTCTTGCCTCTGCACCTGTGCTGTGTACCCCAGGCTAGCCCTGTGATTTTCCCATCTCTGCCTCCAGTCTCTCACTGTAGGGCTTCTGGGAATACAAATGTGCACTACTGCATGTAGCTTTTCACTCAGGCTCTTGGGATCCAAACTCAGATTGTCAAGTAAGTAATTTTTATCCACCCAGGGATTTTTTTTTTTAAATTCTGATTTAATAGAGTTATTCACATTGGTCACAAGAATTTCTTCCCTGGAGAGACAATTTCTACCTCTTCTTTATAAGCTCTCAAGGTCAAATCAAAGTATAGTTCCTCCAAAGGTCACCCTAGAGAACTGATGAGTTTATTTAAACTATTTATAGAGCACTGATGTAGGGCTGCCTACAGGAGCATATTGACCCTGAAGCTGCCACATTGGAAAGTCTTTACCTAGCTTGGATGATGGCTTCCCCATAGTTGCATAAATGGAGCTTCCTTCTTTGGTTAACCTGCCATGGCTTATGTATTCTAGACACCTGGAAGCTATGTGCAGAACTGCATACAAATAGCTGGAGAGGCAAGAGGGAGTAGTGGGAATCTCCAGTAGTTATTCAGTGACTCTCCATATACCCTCTTCCTCTGAGGGAGCCATCAATATGCCCACTGGTGATGATCTTCTGTAAGCAGCTACAGTTTGATGCAGATGGCAGATGATTTGCTCAGAGGCCTGTGTTCTACAAAACACTTCTTTCCTTTTCATATTTACAACTCACTTCTTGATATCCTCAATATGTTTTGTTTGACCTCTTTAGCTTCACTGTGTAAACAAACTCCTGTTTTCTTCATCAAATTATGTACCATTATTAACCTCTAGGTAACCACTGCCCCCTCACCTATTCTGTTTACCTCTCTTGGCCCCACCATCCTATACATGTTGCTGCTGTCCCATGTCCACCTTGCTCTGACCCTACCATACTCCATAGGCCACTGTGGCTCCTCCCAGGCCTCAGCAGGCATCGTGGTTTTGAGCCCCACCTAATGACTCTTGGACTGAATTATTCAGGAAGGAAAAGGAAGGGAGGTGGATGAGGAAGAGCATAGAGACTTCCTTGATGCGTTCTTAATTCCTTCAGGCCACAGACCTGAGCCAGCTGAATGCTAAAGGCAAGAGAACTGTCAGGGAAACTTGTTACCAGTGGTTAGCCACAAGAACTTGGCTTTTCCTAACAAGTCTTATTTGTCAAGTTCACTTGAAATTGTTTTGGGCTGGAGCTGGCTTTACACGGAGATGGCAGTTGAGCATCCACCCTGGGGAAACGTCTTTGTATGGTGTACAGTCCCAGCTTGCGAGCTACTACACAAGCAAGTGATGGTGGTACCCAGAAGTTGGTAATCTCACTGATGGAGGAACATTCTGTAAGCATGTGGCTCCTTCTGCTTACATGGAAGCCAGGGTTCCCTCACAACTACCAGTTAGAGCCAAGTCTGCCTACAACACTCACTCCCCAATTGGATTATTTCATTATAGAAATTTATTTTAGAGATTGGGATATCCAAGATTACGGTTCTAGCAAGGACCCATATCCTCTATTGTAGATGGAACCCTCTCTTGATGGCTGCAAGTGGTGAGAAGGGAGAAGACAGCTAGATCCTTGCAGCCTCTTTGATAAGGACATGAACCTCATTTGTGTTGACTCAGACATCACGGTCTAATCTCTTCCCCAAAGCTCCCTCCTAATAGCATACATTGGTAACTACATTTCAATATATGCATGAGGTTCCTGAACACCAGACTATAGCAGGGGGTATTTTGGAGTCTCCACTCAGTCACAGTCTCTTAATAGAATCCCTGACCACATTGGCCTCAACTTGACTTCTGCCACATGAACAACTGTTCAGTGTAAGGACATGCTGCTACTCAGTCTACTCCCCCCAGCTGACCTGCTTGTCAGAGGAAGTAGTCTAAGTAGTAGGATTAGGTTTGCTCTACAAGAAGCCAGAGTTCCAGTGTTTGCCATTGACCCACAACTACCCAAGTCCCAGGTTTCTTAGAACCTCCTTCTGTGTGAATATGATTTCCTTACCCGTGTCTTATCCACACAGCATTCATGTTAGTCACTTTAAAGATAGAGTAGCTTCCAGGCATGATACTATCTTTAATCTCAATACTCAGGAAGCAAAGGCAGGCAGGTCCAGTTCGAGGCCAGCCTGAGTTCCAGGATATCCAGGGTTTTGCTATGTAGAGAGACACTGTCTCAAACAACAACAACAAAAACCAGCCACAAAACAAGACACACACACATGCATACCTCCCTCCAGAAATACCCCCCCAACACACACACACACACACACACACACACACACACACACACACACACACACACACACAAAAAAAAAAAAAAAAAGAGAAAAAGAAGAGGATAGTAATTTATCTGAGTCTATGTTCTGTCCTGGTCTTGCCACATTAAACACAGTCATAGTATGATGCACATAGACCCCATTCTTTGATATTTATATTCAGAATATGCAGAAAAGACATCATGGCTTCCTAGGATTACAGCATGGAGAGAGGAACCAAAATCAAAGCCAATAAAAATTCATGTTTCTTTCTTTCCGTGCCTGGAAACCTCTGGAAGTATTGCTTGGCCAGCTGGCCTCTTTGCTTGTGATGCTGGAGGAAGCTGACACATTACTCTGACAATTTGTGGGTTAGAACCTCTGGCTCCAACATGGGTCTCATGAATGAAATATTGCTAGGTTTCTTCTGCACCACTTCATGTTTCCTGCCAGAAGTGACTCAGTTGGGTTTTTTTTTTTTTGTGGTTCAGATCAGATTAATGATATTAGGTGATGAAAAACAATGACTAACCCCTTATCTGGTGGAAATCATGCTGGCCACATGCTGAATCCTAAAACAGTGAGCAGATAAAATCCATGGAGAACAAGTGTGCTAGAGAAGGAGGGGTGTGTAAATTCTTCCACTGTTATCTTATAAACCTCCATTCCCTTGGTAGGTATTGAAAGATGTTTGGA